CTTCCAGATAGATAATTCATACCATTAGTAATCAGAAGGGATCCTGCAGCTGTCTTATCTTTTCTGCCAACAGATTTTCTGTATGAAGGAAAAAGAAAACAATGGTAGGAAAACACCAGAGGGCCATGTGCAGCAGGAGATCATGAGGCTTCCTCTGCCAATGAACTTCCGTGAGTGAGGGTCAGCCACGGTGCCATAAAAGCCTCACCATCTGGAATCATATGATTCCAGATGATTCCACTATACAGCCATGCTTCCCGAAGAGTTGGATGAGAAACAAACGAAAAACAAATCTTCTTGTCTGATTCCAAAAAATCAAATATAGAGCAGAATATCCCTTACCTGCCACAGTCCCTTCCTAAGCATTCCTCAGGTCTTGCTTTTGATGGAATAAGAAAAGGAAAACCAAGACCTGCATAGAAGACAGAGAGAACAGCCATGGAAGGAGGAGGCAGAGAATTCTCCAAGCCAGGTGTCCCCTTTCAGCTACAGTAAACCTCAGAGTTATTTGGGGGAATCAGTGGGATGGGAGGTTTGTACAAATCTTGATCAACTTCATAACATGAGGGTGTTGCCATAGTTTTAAAACTATAGCACCTATTCAAAATCTCAGTGCCTGCTACCAGAACTATAAAGCACTCGGCACACAGCCTCTCCAGCACTTCAAACATGGCATTATATAGTCCTAACTGTCTTTTTGGGATAATTGACTGCCTAGATATATAAGGCATAATTAGAGGTGGAGGGAGAAAAATTCTGGTTAAGGGCAATAAAAAGAGACCCTGTATGAAATACCGGAGTTTCATAGGGATCTCAGCCTTACCTCTCCATCTTTAAATGTTCACAGCAAACAAGTTCCTAACACTAGGCAGGTAGAAAGAAAGAAGGAAAAAAGAAAAACCATGAGGAAATTGTTGGAGAAAAGGTGGTCGTGTTTCCTATGGAGCAGAAGGATGTTGTCTTTATGTTACTCAGAGCATAAAGGCAGCCTTTTATTAAGACAGATGATGTGACCGGCAGCTCAAAAGATTTAGGGCATAGCCCAGGCAGTTAGTGAGACATACCATGGCAGGCCTGCTTATAACAACCTTCATGGCCACTCTAAACATATCAAACAAACTTTCACACATGGCATGTTGCACTTGTACACATGTAAAAATAGCATGATGCTGGTGCATGAGGTGACACCTCTGCGTCCAGTGATGCAGAAGTCTTCTCAGGCACCATTTTAGCATTTTCCTCTGTCAGATGAATACTTGATTCTGCAACCTTTCAAACACCAAGCATATGATTTCGGGGTGCAGTAGGACTGATTTTAGGTTCTGTTCTTTTGCTCTCTACCAATAGATGTTTGGTGTAGATCAGTTTTGATCCCATGCCGTGTCCACACCACACTTTGTGCAAGCATTTTTATTAGAGTTGTTTTCACATGACCTTTTGAAGTTCTCTACATTAATTGTGGACAGAGAATTTGGGAGAATATTTCACTGAACTTTTCCAGGGTTCACTATGAGCAATGGTTGTAGCACAGCTTCTTTCTTTGCTATTTGTAAGGCACTCTTCTCTTCTCTTCTCTTCTCTTCTCTTCTCTTCTCTTCTCTTCTCTTCTCTTCTCTCCTCTCCTCTCCTCTCCTCTCCTCTCCTCTCCTCTCTATCCTCCACATTAGGCCACATCTAGCATCCTTTCTGGTCATTGCCTGGAGTGTGGGAAGAAATGCAGCCTCCTCAAAACATAATGGCAAAGAAAATTCTGCAAGGGCAGCTTTTTATTTTGGGATAGAGACAGGTAGGGAATAAAGAAACATCTCAAGGACAATTCTGCAAGAGGAAAACCTTCTGAGAAATCTTGGCTCAGCTCTAGTCACCATTCTTCAGGGTTCAGCCCCTTTCCAAGGGTCTTTCAAATGGTTAATTTCTGAGGAGTGATTGTAGATGGTGACAAAATCACTCCTTCCCTGCAAGGCCTGTGGGGGCATGAGGTAAGACAGGGCAGTGTTACCTCCAGCTCAGGGAAGAGTGTGAGCCAGTGCTGTGCCAAAATCTATCCTCCAATTCCCTGAAAGTCTTTCCTCCTTCATGAAAGAGTTCTCCATTTTACTCCCTCAATGTTGGGACATAAGGATTTCTCTGAAGTTTCTCTTCAAAGGTGATATCTTTTCTATCAGTTTGAAAAAGAAAGGTTTGGGAAATGTGGGAGAAATTTTCAGCAGAGCACCAATTTTTACAGTGTACCACAGAGCAGTTTTGGAATCACAGAAAACACCTGGTAAGCATAAAGTTCACCGGTCTGCAGGTTCACGTAAGATCTTAGGTGAGTAAAGTTTAAGGCTAGATTAATGCTAGGTAATGCTCTACAGTTCTTTATGTAGAAGCTTTACATAAATTCTACTATTGCTTTAAATCCTTTCCCTCAGCACTCCTCTCATGTGCTATGGCTTTTTATTTGCTCTTGCATTCAACTAAATCTGTGAAATATTGTCTCTGATAATCCCTCTCTGTCCTTCAGTTCCTTTGATGCTCTCACATACTTAGGAAGCACTTCAAGCAAAAATGTTCCTATTTTCTACTCATAGCTTTCAGCTCTAAGCAGGCAACAAGCAAAACGGCCCTAAATGAGCTGCACAGCTGTATTTTCCACAGAAATTAACTCCGCTCCTTTTAAGGATAGAAGTGCTACTCAATAATCGAGAACAGACTGTTTGAAATGACAGTAATGAGGACACAGAATCCTTTCCCTTTTCATATCTTTCTTCCTTCTCCAAGGAGAAATTAGCAAGAATACCCAAGTTTCGGCTATATCATTTGGAAGGTTGTCTCTGTGTCGTCACTGAAGTAAACTTCAATATCTGAATCCCAAACAATTATTAAACAGCTGATTTCCAACAAACTGTGAAAAACTACTGTAACTATGATCAATAGAGATCTCTCTCTCACACACACTGATAACAGATTCTAGCAACACATTTGGTGTAAACTTCAATCAAAGCTAAAATATTATTTTTCTCTTCCTTCCCTTCCCCATGAAATCCCCATATAACAAAATGGATAACAATTTCTTAGGTTACCCTATAGCGGTATACAACATTCTATACATGTCATAATCATCTTTCTCTGAATTATACTGTTATATTTATGTAGAAGCAGGGATATCCCTAGAAAACAAAACACTAGCTCAGATTGATGATTTTCTCCCCAAATCTTGCAAATCTAGCAACGTTCTTGAAACTCTTTCCATATTGATTTGTCTGAACACCTCAATATCTAACATGGTACCCATATAGGTGGTAAAGGATTCTGGGAAATGTAGCTGATGTGATAGCCTATAGACCAATCACTTGCTGGGAATGAATAATTGTAACTGGTTATTGGAAGTTTCCCCCACCCCATTATTAAATCTCAGTCTCTACCAGAAGGCTGTATCTGGTTTGGGCTTTGCATCTGCTTGGTTAGTTAGGCCTAGCCTACATTTGTGATTCTTGGACCTCACCATCATTTCCTCTCAAGCTGAAACAAAATTCTAATAGAAACCTAAAATTGTCCTATGGCTTCACATGCCATGGGAGATGCATGGTGACAGAACAGTTTTCAGGGAAAGTTTTCTACCACTGACTTTCCCACTGAGGAACCTCTGATAAGCTTCCTTCAAGGAACTTGCAAAAAATTGGAAAATAATTGGCAAACATAAGCAAACAATGAAGGTAAGGTAATAATATATTTTGCTTAAGGATTTGTGAGGAATCCAATAGGCAGTGAAAAATCATATGGGTGGAATGGGGGGGGGGGTCTTGATTCAGTTCCATGAATTCTATCCTGTCTATTTTCCCTGGTGCCAACCTGATCTGACAGAAGTGAAGCCACATGTAGACTTCCATTTTAAAAATGGTTCATGATTTGTATATTTTTAAAGTGTAGAATGTGTACAAAATTTTTGTCTACTTTGCACAAATTACACTAGAGAGTTACAGTTCTTGACTCCAAATTATGTATATAATTAAGTCAATTTGAAGAGACAGAAAACAGAAACCTATTTCAGTGTACTTTTGACTGTTGGGTCAAATAGTCAATTGTTTTGACATTGCTTCAAATGAAATGAGTTTCCCAGCATTGCCTCTCACAAGTCCTACTTTACAGAAGACACCTTGATCTAAAGAGCTGTCTGGATCAAGCCTGGTTTCAAGGCAAGAAATCATAAGGTGAGGAAGCAGGGCCCTGAATTTTCCAGTTGACATCTGGACAGCAGACTGAATAAGCACAGTGGACACCTGGCAAAAGCCTTCCACAATAGGATGAGACATATTACATTTCCATTTAAATTATTTCTAAATTCCTTTCTATACCTACACATTAGTATACTCAATCTTTGTTCCTTCTCTTTCCCCTGTTTTGCTAGTATGTAAGTGACCATCCTTAATGAATAGGTGATGACCTCTTCTTGGCTGTTTAACAAAATTATTCATATTTCCCTCACGTGCTTGAGAAAGAAAGTCATCTGCTGATTTTTTTAGAGGAAGAATCCGCAGCAATCTCATAGTGTTGCCATATCCAGTACAGGTGTGGTATAAAGGCCTTTGAATTTCTTAGTGCAGCACACAGTAAAGAAGTATGCCTACCACTTCCTCTTTGGCCGTGTCGTCATCCCTCCCTCACCTGCTAGGCCATAAATCCCAGAGACCTGCTGACCACAACAGGTGAAACAAAGGACACACATCAGAATCAAGGAGTTCATCAGCACAACCAAGTGTGCAATGCCCATTCCATGATTGAGTGTATGGCATTCCTGGGGCATTTTACTAGAATCCCCCCTCCCCACAAAGTTGCTACTGTTTTCCCTAGTTCTCCCCTGGGTGTGCTTGGTATATTGTTGATGTTTGAAGGGATCATGGCATCAATTTTCTAAATGCTACAGCTCCTTGCATTACTGCCTATGAAGAGCCTAATTAAAATTGTCCTTTTCTTTCATTTCAGAATTCATGGTGCACATTAATGTGGCATGCAACAACATGAGAATTTTCATGTGTTTTCTCCTGCTCTGTATGTTCGCTGAAATGGTGTCCCCTAGTGAGGACACCGTAGTTGCCACTAAGAATGGAAAGGTCAAAGGAATTAACTTGTCTGTGCTTGGTGGAACAGTAACTGCCTTCCTTGGGATTCCTTATGGAGCACCACCTATTGGTCAACTCCGGTTCAAAAAGCCACAGCCTCGGAAAGAATGGAAAGGGAACTGGGATGCCACCAAGCATGCAAACTCTTGCTTTCAGAACTTCGATAATACTTTTCCAGGATTTGCAGGATCAGAGATGTGGAACCCAAAGACAAATCTCAGTGAAGACTGTCTCTACCTTAATGTATGGGTTCCTTTACCCAAGCCTAAAAATGCATCAGTTATGGTATGGATCTATGGAGGTGGCTTCCACTCTGGGACATCCTCATTGAATGTATATGATGGCAAATTTCTAGCCCGAGTTGAAAGAGTCATTGTTGTTTCAATGAATTACAGGTTGGGGCCCTTGGGATTCTTGGCTTTGCCAGGAAATTCAGAAGCACCAGGAAATGTTGGATTGTTTGATCAACGGTTGGCACTTCAGTGGGTCCGTGACAACATAGCAGGCTTTGGCGGTAACTTTAAAAGTGTGACCATATTTGGAGAGAGTGCTGGTGCAGGGTCTGTCAGCTATCATCTCTTTTCTCCTCAAAGTCATCCTTTCTTCACTAGGGCAATCATGCAAAGTGGTTCAGGAAATGCCCCTTGGGGTGCAATTCCAGCCTCTGAAGCAAGACAAAGAACTTTGGCTTTAGCTACACTCCTCCACTGTACGAGTAGCAATGAAACAGAGATAATTTTTTGTCTTCGAAACAAAGATCCTCAGGAGATCCTTGACAAGGACATTTCGGTTTTCAGAAAGACGGATCTTTTAGACCTAAACTTTCCTCCAGTAGTTGATGGTGACTTTCTTACTGATATGCCAGCAACATTGCTAAAGAATGGGCATTTTAAACAAACTGAAATCTTGATGGGAGTGAACAAAGATGAGGGTTCATATTTTCTTGCATATGGAGTCCCTGGCTTCAGCAAAGATAACAACAGCCTTATAAATGAAACAGAGTTTCGGGCAGGTTTGCAATACTGTTTTCCAAAAACAAGTGAAACTGGACTAGAATCTATTGCTTTTCAATATACAGACTGGGAAGAGGAACAGAACCCTTTCAATTACCGAGATGCCATGGATGATGTCATTGGGGATTACTATTTCATATGCCCTGCAGTTGAGTTCATCAAATACTTTGTCCAGGCAGGAAATAGTGCTTTCTTATACTTCTTTGATCACAGATCTTCTAAACTACCTTGGCCAGAATGGATGGGAGTTCCACATGGATATGAAATAGAGTTTGTATTTGGATTACCCCTAGAGAGAAGAGCAAATTATACCAAAGCAGAGGAAACACTGAGTAGGTCTATGATGAAAGAGTGGACCAGTTTTGCAAAAACTGGGTAAGTATTTCATGTTGGTTTTCTGGCTTCTTTTCTGGTTATTTCCTCCTACAGAAAGTGAAAAGTCTCTGCTTTTTTCATTCTTATGAAAATTGGGAACTTACTACAATTCCATTACTATGATAGTATGTGTGTGGTGTTGATGGTGACGGGTATGGGAGTTGCAGTAGGAATAGTAGCAGTAGTTGTAATGGTGTAGAGCTTACAGGGATGTATCACTGGGGCTTTCTGATGAGCTGGGATGCTGATATCATTTTCAATTCCCCCCGCCCCCTGAATTCATGTTCCTTCTAAGCTTGCAAGCGATCTGCACATAGCTGAGGGAAGGCAAATGAACTTTTCCAGCACCAATACAGAATGATGCGTTATCCCTCTTGCACTGCCAAATATTGGACAATTGAATGGGCAATTGAGATCTACAGGGTTTATAAAAGTCCTGCTCCTGATTGGGATGACAACCATTAGGATTTCTTGATATGGCTCAAGACAGATGCTCAGATTTTTTTTGCCTCTCCTTGGACCACGGCTATGGAGACTGTCATAATCAGCGCCTGCACTAGAAAATTTGCTGCCATACTACTGAGTAGTAGAAATAGAGAACACAGTTGGTGGCACTACTGTTGCAATGAATGGCAGTGCGACAGGAAGGTGGTGCAAGGAACGTGCTGGTCACCTCTGGCATAATCTTGCAGAATTGGTTGAGTTTGGAATTGTTGTTAGTTGTGAAGCCACGTCCGACCCATTGCGACCCCATGGACAACATTCCTCCAGGCCTTCCTGTCCTCTACCATCTCCCAGAGTCCACTCAAGCTCATGCCGACAGCTTCAGTGACTCCATCCAGCCACCTCATCCTCTGTCGTTCCCTTCTTCTTTTGCCGTCAATTATTCCCAGCATTAGAGTCTTCTCCAGTGAGAGTCTGGAATAAGGCACAATAAACTTTAGACACCATAAGACACAATAAACTTTAGAGTTGTTTGTTAGGGATATATTGTCTACCTTACACGAGGGGGAAAAAACTTTTGTCACAACAGCAGCTGTTGCAAACGATGGTTCCAAGTTGCAAACCCCTCAATCCTCAGACAAATTCTTAGAGAAGCTGGAAAAAACTTCAGGGGGGAAGGGCAAGGATGATCAGTGGCCTGGAAACAAAGCTGTGTGAGGAGAAATTGAAAGAACTTGACATTTTAGCTTAGAAAAGAGAAGAATGAGGGGAGATAGGATAGTACTTTTCAAATCTTGAGAGGGTGTCACCCAGAGAAGAGCCAGGATCTCTTCTCAATCATGCCAGAGGGCAGGAGACAGAATACTGGGCTCTGGTTACAACCATATTATGGCTGTGCAGCTTTCTAACTCTTAGAGAAGTACAACAGCGGAATCAATTTCCTAGAGGGGCCATGAGCTCTCCCACTTTGGAGGTATTCAGGAGGCAGTTGGACATCCTGTCAGGGTTGGTTTAACTTGGAGTCCCGCATTGTGCAAGGGGTTGGATTCAATGACCTCATAGGGTCCTTTCAGTTATTCAAGTCTGTGATTCTATACGTGAGAAACAAATGCCCACAGGTGTTATGGTATGTCAGATTAAAAATATTGTATTGTTGATCTGATCTATCGATGCATAAAAACAGTTTTATAGACAAGAGAAGTTAGAAATGACCCTGTATTTTTTAAGTGTAATCTAAGGAGGTCCAATTGTCTAATCATGAATACTTGAATTTATTAATGGACTGATCTTCTGTGGTTGTTTCTCTCAACAAGCACACCACAAACATGTCCATACTTTCTTGTGGAGTTAGTACTTTTGAGCCTAGTGTAAAGAAAGACATTCAGTTAAACCCAGGATCCTAATCATAACTTCTGAGTGCACCTGATTAGCTGAAATTGCTTCTAGTAACAGACAGGGATGTACAGTGCTCACCTGGACTGGAGTTATTTTGCTATCCATATAAAAGTCTTTCTTTTCTCTTTCCTTGAGCAAAAATAGCCACATTCGCCTCAAAGTTTCAACTTAAGGCAAGACTCAGTGGATACTCGATAATGTACAAATCCCCAATAGCAATGTCATGAGTAGTAGAGAAAATTTTGTAGCCGCTCTTGATTTTGTGCCTCCCTTTAAAATGCCTTGTATATTTTCTCTGAATAAGAACCTCCACATTTGCCTCAACATATCACTTAAGGGTAAATTCAATGGCAACTTGAATAACAGTGTTTATCTATCTTCCTGGGATGCAAAAGGAGTGAGCTTCTGACATTGTCAGAGCCCTGCTTGTTAATACTAGGGTTTCAGAATGGATAACTGCTGCCTTCGCAGTGAGACAGTTCCTGAGACAGGGTGAAGACTTGACTTCTTTAAGGTTATCAAAAGAAAAAGAATCCCCACCCGCAAACACACTCATTTGTCTTTAAATGTATCTGTGCTGAAACAGACTGGAACGAGTCAGTCCTACAGTCAATAGCTCCCCATTTTGTAAGCAAGGCTTGGCTCTGCAGCAAAAGGGGGGAAAAAGAATAGGATTTCTGCAGCTCCTTGAACAATAAGACATTTCTCTTTTATCCCATGCTACACTTTTGAAGACAGGTAAGAGGAACATTCTTTATAAAGCAAATATTTTGGTGACCTTGATTATTCCAGATCACCCTCTTCTTACCTTTCTGTGTAAACATAGCTTCTTCTTACAGATGTAGGTATTTCATTGGGCAGCCTGCTGTTTTAAGCTTGTTTTGTAAGTTTTGGATGACTGCGGCTCCTTTAGCACCATGCACATAATGAAGCAGTCACACAAAGACTTACGAATTGTGGATCCAAGCATAGTTCAGCCCATATTTAAAATCACTGGATAATCCATTTTATTCTCTTCCATTAAGCACTAGTTCCAATTTTCTCAGGATCCTTGAACAAGACATCTTCAGTGGACCACACTACTCTCTACTTAATAATGTCACTAGCTGCTGCTGTTTCTCATTCTCTCTCTCATCACTGCTATCCTTGCTTGACCGTCAGACAGCCAGTGGGCAAGGAGGCCCAGGAATCCACCGCCCTCATACTCAGAGCCACTATTGCCTGGGCCAGAGTGAGAGACAAGTGCAGGGCAGTTTCCTGTGGTGAGGAAGAACTTCAGGAGTTTCTTGTGAGTTGCCCCCTGCTAGGGTATGGACTTCCAGTGGGTGTCCAGTTATGCCCACCTCTGACATCAGCTCTATTTCCATCCATGGTGATAATCTGGTTGCAGGATGTCTAGAGGTAAACACAAAGGCATGCACAGACTCTACCGTGGAAGGAAGGGGAAGCTGGCACTGTTAGGCATGGAACTCATTAATGGTGTCCTCTACTGCCATTAATGAGAGTGATGTGCTAAACTTGTCTGCCTTTTTTGGAAAAGCATTTCAACTTTGTTGCATGTTCTTTCTGAAGGGAAAAGAACAAAACAACAACAACAAACAGTTTTGCAGTAATACCAAAAAATGCTACTTAGAAAACTGAGATTGGATACCAGTATCATGGAACTTTCTATTGATGTACAATCTGCCAGTACTGGATTTACTCATTATTTTTACTGAGTCAGATTTAATTTTGTTTACCTTCTATTTTATTTGCAACATATTACTGTTTCTCTTGTTTATACTGTGATGGCCTAAAGTGATAAACAATACAACTGAACTGAACCTAATAGCTGTGGTTACCAACAAGCTTTCTTCTGGGGAAGAGAAGCAGGGAATAGGTGGTGAGAAAGACCAAACACTGCACAGGAGGGAGACCATAACTCCTGTCCTTAAGTGGAAAGAGGATCTGGAGCATAACTTCCTGCTGGGTGAAATAGAACTTGTAGTTTGAAAACTACAAACCTTATGAGCCCATCAGTAAATGAGCTTCATTTGCAAATGTTATTTCCAGGTAGAAAGAGGCCTAGTAGCCTGATATTTCCTCTCCCTTTCCCAGGAAGAGGTGGTGGCGGCAGCTGCTGCTTCCCTTTCTTCTGCTTCCTCTTCCTCTGAAAAAAGATAGAGAGACTGCCATGGACAGTTTGTAGTGGCAAGGATGGGGTACTAGGTCATTTTGAACTAGGCTAACTTGAAGGGGATAGGACCTAACTCCAGATGTGGGCACTTCTCCCCATTTCTAATTTGAAGGTGTGACATATCACAGGGTGATCCCTACTGATAGGATCGTCTTGCACAAGGATTTATCCAAAAAGGTATTATGAAAGATGGCAGCAGTTAGGCTGGGTGTAACCTGACAAAATCAAGGCTGTCTGACTTTATAGGGGTTTCTAATTCTTATGGATACAGGCCTCATATTAGCTGTAAAAGAAGAAAAGGATTTATGCCTATATTCTCCAGAAATTTAGGAAAGTCAATTGTTATGTGCCATGAAGTCACCTCTTATTTATGGGACCCCTTCAGTATGTCCTATTCCTGACATTCCTGTTTAAGTGTTCAAAATTCATGGCTGTGGAATTCTTTTTAGTGTCATTCCATCTCTTAGTTGCTCTTCTTTGTGTTCTTCTGACTTTGATTTTTCTTAGCATGATTATCTTCTCCAGTGACTCTTGCCTTCATGTGGTGCCCAAAGTATGACAGCCTCAGTTGTGGCACTTTTGCTTCTAGGGGAAGCTCTGACTTGATTTGATCTGGAACCTACTTGCTCATCTTCCTGTCAGTCCAGGATATTTGCAAAGCTCTCCTCCAGCACCATGTTTCACATGCATCGATGTTCTTCTGGCCAGCTTCCTTCATTGTCCAACTTTCACACCCATATGAAATGATTGGAAATACAATGGCATGAATGACAATAAACTTGGTCTCCAGTGAAACATCCTTATATTTCATGATCTTTTCTACCTTCTTCATTACTGTCTTTCCAAGTCTAAGTCTTCTTTGGCTGCAGTCTCCTTTTGACTGAGCCAAGGCATGCAAATCTTTTACAATTTCAATTTCTTCATTGTTGACAGTAATGTTTTGTAATTCATCTGTTGTCATGAGTTTTGTTTTCTTAGTATTAACACTA